AATTTCAAACACTGCAATATTCTAACCCATTATATTATCAGTAATGCATTAAAGAGTGAAATTTCATTTTAGTTTGAAAGCCTGGAAAAGAGAGGATTTTGCATCCCAAGATGGTTTGGATCAGGTATTGCTTTAATGTACATTTATAAAAGGTTTATAAAAGTTTTTATAAAGGTGGTTTTTGATTGTATAACAATAAGATCTATTACAATTTGATCAAGACAATGCACCAATCTACAGTTCACAAAATTTTTTCCAACACATGCAAAGTCAGATTAGCTTAAAGTGACTTTCCTTTTGCCTTTTTAGGGCGTGCTTGTCATCTTGATAATTTGCTCTGAATATTAAACTATGAAAGAAGTAAAAAACTTTTTCTGAAATATGAAGAACCATTTAATATCGTATTTTTTTCTGTACAGCATATCCCTAGAAACGCACATGAAGATACTGAGCGCTCTTCCTATGAATCTTATTTTCATTCAGGTCTGAAGCATGAAATGTCAGCGGACCTACTATAAGACATTCAACAAGCAGTTGTTGGATATGTATATGGTATGTGTGCAATCAAGTTCTCGTCTGCTTTTAACCTTCTCAACACATGCAATTAGGTTTTATAGTTATGCCTGTTACATTGCTTTCATATTCTGAAATTAGGCATGTGACCAAAATCTGATAAAGAGTTGCTAAAACATGAAACAGGGAAGACCCACCACTCACTGTGCTTGACCCACCATTAAAAAAACCACAATTTCTGCCACTGCCCTTGACACTTATAGAAACTTCCACATTTTCATTAAATTTTGATAAAGATCATGTATCTAAAATTTTTTGTCAAAGAAAGAATGTATATTTTCATTTACAAAAAGCGAAACAATGAATGTGGCTTGTATTAAACCTAGGTATAAAGATAATTGGGCGAAGAAAAAAATTTCTAAAAACATTTCTTATGTGTCATTCATATTTATCTTTTTTGTTTTTCTGTCAGTTTTTTATAATAAACATTTTCACATCCCCCTTGAATTAAAAAATGTATTTGAAAATTTTAGCTGGGCTTAGTTCTGTTTGTCGCATTTGAAGGGCTGTTGCCCAATTAAATTGGAGTTTTAGGAGCCTAAAATTTTATATATGTAAAATGCTGTGAGACAGCCTTTTAGAGTTTTGGAGTGGGTAGTAATGAACAGGAAAAGGTTAGAACGTTTTTTTGGAGTTTACATAAACTAAGAAACTTTTGTGATGTAGAGTTACAAGACTGACTTTCGTCTATATTAACTATTAATTATATTGATTATAAAAAGGTTATCAACACTACTAGGGCTGTTCTATGTTGATAAGTGAATTTTTTACCAATTTAGGTGAATCTACTTGTGGACAGAGAGCTCTTTATGAATTAGGATTAACTGGGATTCCAATATACAATGTGGGTAACATTTCAAGCTATTTGAGGATGCTTTCTTCTTTCTTACTGAGTTTCAGAATCATAAGAGTCTTTGTTATGATTAAAATATCTTTCAGATCATTGAAATATCTTTAAGCAATTGTTGTACTTTCACTTTTAATAATTTTTAATTTCACTTTTAATTTTACTGTTAAACAGTCTTTTGCAGTACTATACAACAAAATAGAGTAAATCTTTTAAGGGCCATCAAGATGATATTCGAATGTCGTAAATGCCGAGGATAATATTGAATGTAAAATTATACAGTGTACATGTTAGTTGGATAGTCCTACCTTTGATATATTGCTAGTCTTACTATTGTTCATATTAGTTTCAAAAAGGACGTTGTAATGTTTAAAAAATTATACCAAAAATATCCACTATGTCATTATAGCAAAAAATCAATCTGAAAATAGATTTATCCATTCTCAAATCCAGGTTAATAATAACTGCGCAACTGGCTCTTCAGCTCTAATCCTTGCAAAGCAGCTTATACAAGGAGGTATGGTTATAATATTTAACCATTTTTTGTACTTTCTATGAACCACTGCAATGTTTTGTTAATGTGCTTTAATTTATGAACTTGGGACAGTAGCCGCAATGCAAGTAGTGGGGAGCAAATTGCTCAACCTACCATTAACTTCTATAAGGGAAAACGTTACTAAAGGGGCTATACAAACACCCCAGATGTAATTGCTATTGGGGAGGAAACGGATATGAAAACCCCCCTTTCCCTATTATAAGCCGATGCACAAAGAACGAACAGGTCTCTTGTAATGAGGCTTCACCAAGCAAAGGCTTCGTACGTTATTCAGAACCCTTAGATACCTCTAGTTCAACCTAGGGGATAGAAACAATATGAAACCACACACCTTTCCATAGTATTGTAAACCAAAGTCAGAAGGAGGGCAAAGACTCCACAGTATAGTGCATAATTTTGTAGAAAGGGGAAAAGGAAAAACGTTAGGAAGCACGTCACAACGGACCATCACGGAAAGGGAAAAATTAAAACTCAGGGCTTATTAATTAAAGGAAAACGCCCTTTGTGAAATTAAACAAAGTTAGAATTGATTAATGCTTTACAATTTTTGCTTCACCTTAATTTAATTGCCAGTATACCCTTTTAGGATTATTTGATTATCCAAGTTTTCTTTGAGAGTGATCTCCATATAGCCACAGAATAGGAAATAGGCAGAAGGGTAACTCTCGTCGGTTCCTTTGTTGTTTTTGAAGCCTGAGTCAATAATAGAATTCCTTAATTCCCCTTTAACCTCGATTTCATTAGACGAGCTTAGCCATGGCAAATTATTATCCATTAATCAGACATGATACATAATTGAATTTGTTCACTATCATGGGGCATTTCGTCTCAAATAAAGTTGTCTACTTTCCTTCTTTTTCAAAAATTTCCCCGACACATGCTAAGCCTCGTATAAGTTAACGCATGCATTATTTTTTTTCAGGCTTCTCCTGATAGGCAGGAGTTCCCCTTTTGCCTAATTTCTATTCTGTGATATAGCAATGGTCTCCGGGTTAAGCTCTCAGTTTGAGAAAGAGATTATACCAAAGGCATATTAGGTCTATATATAATAATAATAATAAATAATTTGTTTAAAGTTGGCGTACTAAATGAACGGTTTATAGCTATAGGGAAGCTAATTAAGGCCAACTATCTATAAAGAGTTAGTATGAAATAAAAATATATGATACAATATTAAAAAGGTTTAAGGTATAATGTTCTAAATAAAACCTAACCCAGCAATAAATTTTTTACACAATCTACAGTCGCATTCTATAGGGTGTGCTCTTAATTCTTTTTTAAATGTTGCCAATGATTGGGACTCTCTTATACTGTGAGATAGTGTTTGCCACAGTTTTTGACCTAAATATCTCACAGTTTCTATACCATAAGAAGTTGTCCTGGCTTTTGGAATGCAAAGATTATTTTTAGTTCGCAAATCATAATGTACATTTCTTGTTTCAAAAATTTCACTCATGAAACTAGGATTCAGGTTATGTTTCGTTTTGTATATTTCTATCATCAAATACTGTAGATTGCGTTGGTGAATTGATACTGCATTATCCAAAGTCAGCAATGCTTCGTAGTCAGCATTACTGTCTTTATAAACAATTCTGAGTGCTCTGTCGTGGATTTTATTTACTTTAGCATTCAGACATCTGTCATGGAACATCCAAATTAGGGGGCAGTAACTAAACTGAGCTTTTATGAAGCTGTTCATTAGGAGACGCAGTTTATCAGAACCCATAAATGGCGAAACTCTAGCAAGAGCATGCAGTTTTTGGCTGGCTCTTTTGCATAAATTTGAGACGTGACTTTTGAAATTAAGATTTTTATCTATTATCACCCCTAGAAGTTTTTCTTCAGAGCTTTCTTCAACAATGGCCTCACCGATTTTGATCTTAAGGTCATCTTGATTTGTTCCAAAAGTAAGAAGATGACATTTCCCTGCATTCAATTTCATAAAGTTTTCTGGAAACCATTTTGATAAAATAAGAGCATCAGTTTCTAGCCGTTCTAAAACTTTATCTAATTGACAGTCAGCTGCAAAAATCGTAGTATCATCAGCAAAGTTACATACTGCAGTATCAGTTACCATTAAGAATAAATCATTAATATATAAATTAAAGAGAAGAGGCCCAAGGACTGATCCTTGTGGTACACCTGCAAAGGTTTCTCGCCAAGTGCTGAATGAACCATTTAATTTTACCCTTTGTCTTCTACCGGACAGGTAAATATAAATCAATAATTGAGCATCTTTACAAAAACCATAGGCATTTAATTTCGCAATTAATAGCTCATGGTCTATGCAATCAAACGCTTTTGAGAGATCCATTAGCAAGGCACCAACCACCCCTTTTTATCTAGGGAATTCTTGCAGATATCCATTAATCTCAACAGCGCATGCTGTGTGTTGAAACCTTTCCGAAAACCACATAAGTAGGGAACTAGGAACGTATCCGCGAAGTCGACCATCTGAGCATATAGAAGCCGTTCAAAGACCTTTGATAATGCGGATAGAACGGTGATAGGTCGATAGTTTCGTTTTTCTGTAGTTTTGTCACTTTTGAATAGTGGAGTTATGTCTCCTAATTTAAGATCTTCAGGAAACGTTTTCTGGAGCAATGAATTATTGAAAATTGTCGTCAGTAATGGTGCAAAAATGTCTTCGTTTTCTTTCAGTATCCGCGGAGGAATACTTTCAATAAACGATTTACCGATTACTAGCGCCATTATGAAATGAGGGGAAATTTCACTCGCCCCAAGCCCCTGAACAAAAACAAAAATTTACCAATTTTCAATTGTATTTAGTCTCAATAATTCATCATTGACTGCCTGCATTGTAATTGGTTTGAATTCAAAGAATGTGCCATGGTTTACCTTATCCTTAATCTTGCGGATGCTGGGATGATGTTTATATTTTTCAACAGCAATTTCAACAGGATCTAGCAAATGGTCTGTCGAATTGAGAATGCATTCACCAGGGGCAATGTCAATTGTCTTTGTGATATTTGTAAAAAGTTCATTAAGGATCTCAGCTATTTCACTGTCATTCGTAATAAACTTTTCATTTTCGATAAGCGTAATACTTGAAGAGGTTTGTACCTTGTCAGTAAAAAGTGGTTTTACAGTTTTCCAGAACTTTTTATTGTCAGTGACAGAATTTATATCAAGGTTACCATAATATGATGTTTTTGCTTGTCGCAGAATTTTCACACACCTATTTCTTTGCTTTTTAAAAGCGTTCCAGTTTTCAGAATTATTATGCCTGTTTAATCTGTTACGTAACTGTGAACGGAGCATAATTGCCTTTCTTAAAGTTTTCGTCATGAAGGGTGCATCATTTGCGCGTAAATATTTCTGTTTTAGAGGTACATGGTTATTCAGAACTTCTTCGACTACAGAATTAAAATTTTCATATTCAGAGTATGCTTCGCTACTCTTAGCTAGATTGCTTCTAAGGTCACTGCGAAACTTTATAGGATCAAATTTACTGTAGTCTCGGTATGTCACAATCCTTGGACCTCTTTTTACAAAACCACTCTTTAACACTGTTAGTATCATTTACAAAGGCATATAAAAGCAATCCGTTTTCCCCCAACTCTTCAATTTATACTCTTGGTTTTGCAAGAGTTCGTTTTTTGATAACCCAAGTGGCTTTGACCAGTGAACCATCACTGCTCCTCATGACGAGGGAACATGAATTATATTAGGAAAATACATGAACTTCAAAAGAATGATATTTAATATGATATTTTATAATGATATATTAGAATGATATTTTGGTTAGATTTTTTTTGGAAGCTCTTGTATAATTCCAGGGTTTATATAAGTTACGGTTCATATAAGATCTTGGAATTCCAAATAATGGAGGCTCACAACTGTTTTCGACCCCTGCTGTTTATCTCTCTTTACAAATTTCAAAGGTAATCGATTATCGACAGATATTAAAGGGGCTTATACCGTCTTTCAATCAAGAGTTTACCAATCAGTGAGTGACCAATCACTCAAGAGTTTACCAATTAGTGAGTGACCAATCACTCAAGAGTTTACCAATCAGTGAGTGACCAATCACTCAAGAGTTTACCAATCAGTGAGTGACCAATCACTCAAGAGTTTACCAATCAGTGAGTGACCAATCACTCAAGAGTTTACCAATCAGTGAGTGACCAATCACTCAAGAGTTTACCAATCAGTGAGTGACCAATGCACTCAAAAGGTACCTGAATCAGTGATGAGCCAATTCACTTCAAGGAGTTCTTATCCAATCAGTGAGTGACCTAATCACTCAAGAGTTTACCTAAATCAGTGAGTGACAATCATCAAGAGTTTTAACCATCAGTGAGTGAGCAATCATCAAGATTACCAATCAGTGAGTGACACAAGGGTCACTCAAAGTTTATCCATTACGTGGTTGACAATCACTCAGAGTTTAACAATCAAGTGAGTGAAACCAATCACTCAGATTTACCAAATCAGATAGTACAATCACTCAAGATTACCTAATTGAGTGAGTGACCAATCACTCAAGAGTTTACCAATCAGTGAGTGACCAATCACTCAAGAGTTTACCAATCAGTGAGTGACCAATCACTCAAGAGTTTACCAATCAGTGAGTGACCAATCACTCAAGAGTTTACCAATCAGTGAGTGACCAATCACTCAAGAGTTTACCAATTAGTGAGTGACCAATCACTCAAGAGTTTACCAATCAGTGAGTGACCAATCACTCAAGAGTTTACCAATCAGTGAGTGACCAATCACTCAAGAGTTTACCAATCAGTGAGTGACCATCAACTCAAGTTTACCAATTAGTGAGTGACAATCACTCAGAGCTTTACCAATCTAGTTGAGTGACCAATCACTCAAGAGTTACCAATGCCAGTGAGGACCAACTCACTCAAGAGTTTTACCAATCGTGAGTTGACCAAATCATCAAGAAGTTTTACCAATCAGTGAGTGACCAATCACTCAAGGAGTTTACCAAACAATCAGTAGTGACCAATCACTCAATGGAGTTTACCATCAGTGATGAATCCCAGAATACCAATCAGAGGCCATCAATGAGTTTAACCATATCAGTGAGTGATCCAATCACTCAAGAGTTTACCAATCAGTGAGTGACCAATCAACTTAAGAGTTTACCATCAGTGGTTCATTTCCACTCAAACGCTTTTTTGCTGGTCTATTATTGATTGGCCAAATGGCGTTAAGCACTTGAATACCTTCGATTTCATTTAATTAATGTACATATATTCATATATATTGATTTTCTGTTGGCAATAGTTATTTTATTATTTTTCGGTGACGTTAGCAGCGTAGGAGTCACTACCGCTTCGACTGAATGGGAAGTCTCGGGCTGTGTTGGTCTCTATGAAGAGAGTGTACAGAAGGCTCTTTGTTTGAAGGTTTGAATCTTCTCTCTCTCACTATATAAGACAGACGTTGTGTTTGCACTGCCGTCGCACACGATAGAGCAACCTCGATCTCGCGCAGTCTTTGATGCTCGTTCCAAGATTGTAATGATCTATTTAGCAGAGGTAGCGGCTTTCGGAGCTTGGAATCGATCAAAGAGAAATTAAGAGGCTCCACAACCGACGTGTAACATCCCTTGAAGTGTCATCGCGCGTGTATTATGAGCTTCGACGGTATGGCCAGAGATCTTCAAAAAATAACTGGTGAAATTTGAACGCTGCCTACTCTCTCCGATAACGCGCTCAAGGAGAACAAGGCTCAATAGTGGCTTTGGATAGGGGCCAGATGTCCAGGGTCGAATGTCAAGGATGAAGGCTTGGAAATTCTCTATTTTGAAATCGATTTTCATTTTATTTGTTTTCTGTCGTAAATGAACCTGTTTCAATTCAAGTCCGGTGACTGTCTGTCGTTCTTTAATCTGTATTGTTGTTATCAAAGAAGTTTTAAAAAAAGGCAAAACAAAGTTTCAATTTAAGATGTTGTTGTCATATAATTAAGGACTCCTTTAGTCAAGCGTGTGAAGAAAGGCATTCTAGATTTTAGTAAGCATTAATGGAATATAGGAGATTAATCTTTGGTTCCTTTTATTTGTATCACAATCTTTGCGTTTGAATTGATCTGATGCTTTCCGGGCTTTTCCCCTCAAATACCAGTAAAGCATCATGTTATTGGTAGAACTAATTTGAATACAAATGTGAATCATAACCTGGGCAATCCTAATGCCTGTATTGTTGGTAGCGAACACAGTTATTTTTCTCTGATATGAACGAAAATTTCTGAAATAATGAACTCTCTTGAGTGATGTTTATATCTTTATTGGATGAAAAAAATAACATTAATAGCACCATGCACTATTCTGCAATAAATACTTTCCTTGTGTATTGTCGGCTCGGTACTTTTATAATGTAAATTGGACATTTCTGCATAAAGTTTATGTTACCTACTTTAGTACTACGTTTGTTTATCCAATTTTCGGCTCGTATACTTATCTCGCTTGAAGGCAGGACAGAGGCGGCGGTAGCAACCTGATGGAATGATGATGTAATGGAAAATTTAGTATTTGAGTTTTTTTTTTACAGACCCGAACAGTTCTCCTGGCGCTGGCGCAGCATAGCGTGATTGAGTAATTGTAAGGTATTAGCCTGCTGTATTACTGGTGTGTAAATTGAATAGGAATTTGAATGTAAATTCATACTCTAACAAATGCTGTAACTGGAGAGTATCATTATTCTGGTTACACGAAGACTATATTTAGGGTCAGAGATAGCCGAGAGTAATATTATGTTACAAACCTTATGGACGTCGATAATAGGCGTTTCCCAGTTACGTTATGTTCACTCTAGTCGCACACACTCGCCGCTCCGTGTGCTTGCTCAGTTATTGCCGATAGACGCGGCCTCCGATCATATATTATTGTTTGAGTATTACGTCAGACCATTACGGCTCACTATGCACGACGTTACGTATGTGTATCCATACTAAATCTCCCCTCAATTGACACACGCTTTTGTTAAGTAAGCCGGGTAAGCAGCGCTGTTAGTGAGAAAGGCTAATTCATTCACTTGATTACGAGCATTAAGTTATTAGTTTCTATGTTATGTTAACTCACTGATTATATATGATTGGTATAACGACAAAAAGGTGCAATAGATCGCCCTAGGCATCGAACGCACGCAGGTGCACGGTGAATGTATGTCTACATATATGCTTAGTGTTTTCTTGAAAGGTAAATTCTAGGTTCCATCGATATTTGATGAAGTGGCAAATGAATTTCAAAAGATACTTTTGCTTTTTCGTCATATTTTTCTTTTTTGCCTAGGTTTTCAAATCAAATTCAACCACTCTTTTTTGATCATCATAAATTTTATCATCTTTATGACACAAATCAAACATCTTCTTGAATGAATATAGCAAGAAATAAGTTTCTGCAACCTTATCTTTTTATCTACCTCCATAATTCGCTTAATGAATTCGCCACTTAAAGGCGTA